GGTTAGTGTAGCCTCTCAGTGTGTGTACTTTGTAGGGATGGGGAGAGGAGGTGGGGGTATGGAGAAGGGGGAGATGCTGCTGCTTTTAGATGGAGGGGAACAGACAGACTGGCCCTGAGGGACCATCTTCCCTTCCTTCCCTCGGCCCCTCATCGCCCGCTCTGCCCACCATCACGTACTCCACGTGCTGAAGGCTTGGTTCATGTTCTGCCATCAAGCCCTGTGGCTCTGACTTCATTCAGTGACAGGGAACCCTTGACCTGACTCCATAAAATATGCACTGGCCACGTATATACACCCTTACCTAGCTACCCACACTCCTTGGTGACTTGAGACCTCAACTGGTCCAGAAACAGGTGACACAGGTATGGCCAGGATTCCAGAAATCCATTGTTATTCTAGTTATAACTAACGTATCCCAAAGAATTATCTATGTAGCAGACTCTGTACAGCATATCCATAATCAGTGCAGTTAAAAGGTGACTTGGAAAATGATATACAAAGACACAGATATAATCTGTACATACATATGTGTATGTGTATGCATATATGTATGTATGTATCTATCTACTTTCCAAATGCCCTCTTTAAAAAAAATGGATAAAGGACACAAAAGGCAAGTAACAAAAAAATGCTTGAAAACGTTGAAAACCTCAGCCTCTCGGGGCGCCTGGGTGGCGCAGTCGGTTAAACGTCCGACTTCAGCCAGGTCACGATCTCGCGGTCCGGGAGTTCGAGCCCCGCGTCAGGCTCTGGGCTGATGGCTCAGAGCCTGGAGCCTGCTTCCGATTCTGTGTCTCCCTCTCTCTCTGCCCCTCCCCCGTTCATGCTCTGTCTCTCTCTGTCCCAAAAATAAATAAACGTTAAAAAAAAAAATTAAAAAAAAAAAAAGAAAACCTCAGACTAAGACTCAAAGAAATGTATATTAAAATATTGAGAGTAGCCTGTGTTATTTAGAAAAGGGGGAAATAGACTCTCTCAAGCATCACTGATGGAAATTTAAAGTGGTATGACCTCTCTAGAGGTAAACCTAGCAATAGGTAGGACAATTTTAAACAGGCAGACCCTAGGGTGCCTGGGTGGCGCAGTCGGTTAAGCGTCCGACTTCAACCACGTCACGATCTCACGGTCCGTGAGTTCCAGCCCCGCGTCGGGCTCTGGGCTGATGGCTCAGAGCCTGGAGCCTGTTTCCGATTCTGTGTCTCCCTCTCTCTCTGCCCCTCGCCCGTTCATGCTCTGTCTCTCTCTGTCCCAAAAATAAATAAACGTTGAAAAAAAAATTAAAAAAAAAAATAAACAGGCAGACCCTTAACTCAGCTATTTTACTCCCAGGTATCTATTTTGAAGCAATAACTAGACAATTCACAAGGATATATGTGCAAGGATTTCCAGGGAAAACAACCTAAACTCCACAGTAGAGAATTGATTACATAAGTCAAGCTACATGGAGACATGTACATGATCCATGATACAGCTACATGCCACATGATGTAAAATGGTATTTACTGACATGGAAAGGAGTCCACGATATACTAAGTACAAAAGCTAGATTACAGAACCATGTAGTATGTGATACAATTTTTTTGAGACTATATAAAAGACTATACAATTTTTTGAGACTACATATATATGTATATATATGTATATACACACATATATATACGTACATATATATATATACACATATATATATAATTTGGGTTATTTTTGGATTACAGAATTTTGTTTGATTTTTAGTTTTTCGTATTTTTATGTAATCTCTGAATTTCAAATAATGAACACTTGTGGCTTTTCAGTCAGAGAAAATCAGTAATGCTGAAATGCTCTGAAACGTGAAACTCGGTCAGTAGACCTCAGGAGAAAGGAGGCTCCTTTCTCCTCTGCTGCTAGAGAGAAGCCAATCCATCATGCCATCTCCAGATAGGATCAGGCTTCCACTATCTCAGGCACATGAGCATTTATCCTATTTTCAAAAGCTCCCAGAGAAAGAGGCTTCAAAATTCCCCCCTGATAATCCATTCCAGGGTTTATCAAATTCACCTGAAAAAGAAATTTCCCCTCATATCTAATCTGAAACCCACGTTCGATGACTCAAGCCATTGCTTTTCTCTCTCAGCTTTCAGTGAAAATAGGAAATGGTGACTGCATTTGTCCTTATCGAGAGCAATTATTTTCCAGAATGTCTAGAATGATACACACTCTGCAAGTTAAACGCATGTGTGTATTCGCTCTCACACCCTCATATACACATACACACACTTTCAGGAGAGTCTAAACTGGCATGGCACATAAACAAACATTACATTCTGGGCCTTCAGCTCAACTGAAGAAGCCATTTGGAAAGCCCACCCCATCCTTGGCGGCTCTGAAGCACAGACTTTCAACCCCAGGTGGTTTGTCTCATCTTTCCAGCAGCGCAACCATCAGGAGCATAACCTTGAGCAGGAATCAGAGCTGGAGATGTTGCAGGAAGCTACCTCTTGGACTGTTCCAGTTGAGACAGGAGTGTATCACTCCCAAACCTTGAGAAAAGGAAAGAGAACAGTTTGCTGATGTCAACAGCCAGTGTGAATGATACATTGTGACAAGAGCTTTTCCACCTCTCTCCTTTTAATCCCTCCTCCCTCCCTCCCTTCCTCCCTCCTCTTGTTGTTCCTTCTCTTCATCCTCTCCTGCCCTGTCCATCATCCTCCACACCATTGTAACCAACATTTATTGTGCATTTACTGTGTGTCAGACACTGTTCCAAGAATGCTGCATGTAGTCGATTCTCACACAAACTCTAGGAAGTGGATTATACTAACAACATTTACAGTAGTTTCTTCCAAGAGCTCTCTCCTTTACTGGCTGGGCACCAGATAGCCTCTAGATGCAGCACTGGAACCATAGAAGGGTTTTCCTACCCTTAGATAAGCCTGGGGGCTGGGAATAGTGGGGACATGGTCAGGAGCCTACCATGACTCAGGGACCAAGGCAGCTGAGCAGGGTAGAGTGGTGTGCAGACCCCAGGCTTTATAGCCTAGAGCAAAGGCTATCATGTCTCCACCCACAACCGTGGACAGTCATGCATTCCAGATGACTTCCAATTGTCAGGGTCTGCATCTCTGCATCTGAGGGTGTTTGTTCTCCAAATCAGGCATTCAACCAATGACTCTTGGACATTGGTGTATAAATACCCAGCTCCCTCAACTCTTGAGTGGGCTAATTTTGGGTCATGAATTATGTGCTTTTTCTTTTGGAGATCAAACCACAGTTGCCAGTGTAGTAGCTGATGTAATAATGCATCCTTTATTGGCTTCCTTACTTCTCCTGGATTACTCTCCATGGCCCAGGACATTATTTGAGCACGAATCCTTGTCTCAGTGTCTCCTTCTGGGGAAAGGTTACTACGGCAGACTCTAAAACAGACCTCTTTTAATTCTAGCTCCAGTGCTTTCTTTCTATATGATCTTTGAAAAGCTATCACTCTCTGAAAATGGGGAAATCTGGTACAGGGCTTAGACATTTTTATATATAAAGTTCTGGCACACAAGCCCTCCAGAAATGGTCATTCTTCCTGTTACTCTTTGCTGAAGGAGATGCTACTGTTATATGGTCACTGTTCCTATTCCTGAACAACTATAAAACATCTTTTCCCTCCTCATTAAGACTTCTGGAAACTTTAACCCCAAAGGCTTAAAGCTGACTGTTCTCCAGCCTAGGACCAGGAAAGCCAACAGCAAATTTGACCCATTATAAAGACCTGATGTAGCTCCTCAGAGTTCAAGTTCTATTTCAAAGAAATAATTGCAAGTGATTTTCCAAGAATGAGTTTTGTCAAATTGTTCCACCCACCTACTAATTCAGGGATGCTAATTCCTTCTTTGGGTAGAGTGCTTTAATGTTGTTAGAACCTCTCCATCCGATGTTTATAATTGCACGTGATTCTCATGTCTGATCTTTGTGCCAAAAAAGGATCGGTTGTGCTTCATGGTGACCCCCCACAATCTCAGTGGATTAATACAACAAATCTGTATTTCTTGCTTGGTCTCTCATGAGTCAACTGGGGGATCTACCCCATGTCATCTCTGCAGGATCTACATTGACAGAGCGGCCATCACCTGGAACATGGCTGCTCCTCGTGGCACAGGAAGAGAGCATTCAGGAGTGTCCCATTCTAGCAACTCATTATTGAGCCCGAAAGTAATACTCCCATTTCCTCTCACAATTCATTGGCAGGGTCTGTTCATGGGGTCAATCCTATCAGGCACCTGGAAGGCAAGCAACAAGAAATTGTTGTTGAATAGAAGTAGTGACTACCGCCATATTATTTCACCCATTGTATTATGGAAGACATAAGAAATGGCGAGTTCCAGTGCTTTCTTAAAGTCATCCAGAGAGTTTGGGCCTAGGATTCTGTTGTGGTTCCTTTTCCCTGAGATGCCTGAAGAAGACTACATTAGGAGGCGATGAAAGTCTGGTTTCTTGACTATCTCTTTCTACAACTCAAAAAGCCTAAATTATCTTTGTAATTGTCCTACACACAGCAATCTCAAGGTCAAGGACTGAATGGTCAAAAGAATTGAATTACTGGAAGAATTTAGGGATCAGGTGATAGGGGTTTTTTTGTTTCTTGTTTTTTGTTTTTTTTTTTTTTTGAAAGCAGTAGGTTGTGTAAAGAAAGTGGCCCCTCCCTCTGGCCTACCTTCTTGTCCCCAGAATCAGGTACAACTCTACAACTAGTGGAATTGTAAAGCCTATATTGCCAAAATGTGGTGTTCTCCTCTGCAGTCTCGAAGATTCTACCCAGTAGCATCTTGGAGCCTGCTCACATCAGCCTTTAAGAACTGTGCATCCTTTCCCAGTGCCACATTCGGGAATGTCACAATGGTGGCTTGAAGTTGGCCACAGGAGCAATACTTACAGCACAGAAATTGTAAAAACTACAAATTAGGGCCTTTTTTTCCTCCCAGACAGCTAGTTGTTAAAAATGTACAGGTTTCTATGCTTAATCCTTCACATGCAGTTGGCTTCTCCTTCATGCTCTTGCATACCACGTGGGCATACATGGATCCCTGAGGACTGGCGAGCTTCTCTGAGGAGAGAGACTTTGCCTTATCCCTTTTTAAAATTTTTCCCTTTCCCAGCATATACTTCGATGTCAAATATACTATTTGCCATGCATTGTTCTAATTACTTACATGTAAAAAGTCTCTAATCCCTACGAGGAAGGCACTATTGTTTTACCGAAGAATAAACAGGCACAAAGAGGGTAGGTAACTTTCCCCAGTCACACAACCAGGATTTGAGCCCAGGTGGTCCAGTTCTAGCATGTGGACTTATAACAACCATACTCCACTGTCGGGCTCTCAGAGCACACAAGAGAAGAAAAGAAAGATTTTGATTCATCAAAAAAGGATGTTAAACACCATTTTTTTTTTCTGAATATACAGTATCAATTATGCCTGGCCATGTAAAGTGGATTTTTTTCATTTAATATTCATTCATGGCACACTGGCTATATGCTAGGCTCTGTGCTAAGTGATGACAAGAATACAAGCCTGACAGTAATAGAAAGTATCATTTACTGTGCTCTTACTAAACAGGCACCACGGCAGGTGCTGAGGGCTACAAAGATGATGATGATGACGACTGATATGATGACAGCAGTAAAAGCTACATCACCGAATGCTTGATGTGTGCAACACACTGCTGGTCATTACATTTCAGTCTTGCCACACCTTGTGAGACAAAGATTTTTCAATTTTTGCCCATGTTACAGGTGAGGAAACTGGGGCCCAGGGAGGTGTCAGCACACCAAAGAGCTCACAGATCAGGCTGCTCCTATATACTCTGTCTACAAGGCAGTAGAGTTAGACTCTTTGGGGTTCCCCTCCATCTCCTTCACACCACAGCTAGGTGCTTCCATCTATGTCCAACTCAATTCTGAAAGATTCCCTTTTGATCTTCGGGAGAGCTTTGAGGTTGTCAGCCTAACATCTTGAATATAGATATAGTGAGAGGAAGTCCAATAAACCAAAAGAAAAAGGATTTTTCCAAGCTTTTTGTAAGAAACATGAATCACTAGCATTCTGAAGAAGCCTATAACAGGCACAGATGTACATGATATTCACCGAGTTCAGCACATGGTGCTACTGAGACCAGAAACTCATTACATGCTCAGTACAGGGCTGAAAACCAAAGTAGGGACCTCTTCTTCCAATGTACACCCGACTTCGTAATTAGAACCTCCTGTGGGAACATTTTCAGTACAAACAAAACTTTGCACTTGGAGTTACCACAGTTAACACTGAAATGAAATGCCACTATCAAACAGTGGGACAAACTTTTAAACAAATATGCTAAAACTTGAATGTTTATTTCAATGCTTTTATCTTTAAAGATGTCACTGTAGAAGGTTATTGTCTTGTTATCACTTAAAAATATTGATAGCCCTATTTTTAGAGTTGTTTTCAGGTTTAATCTAGAAAACACAGAAAATGCAACTCTGTGTGCATGTGTGTTTGTGTGTGTGTGTGCTTCTGTGTGTTCCTATGCATTCCATATTTCTGGTTCTCTTTAATAGCTCACCTTACTGAATAGCTTTGGTTCCAAATGACTTTATGCTCCTTCTAAAAATAAACTACCTGCCATAGATATTATAACCAATAATGGAGAGCCAAAGAATATGCCACAGGCTCTGCAGGGCAATTCCAAAAGAACGGTCCCCAAAATGACTTGAGGGGTAACTTCATTAAAATATTCAAGGTGAATACTTTGAGGATAAACATCCTCATTTGAGCCTAAACACACTCAGTGGTAGGATTTTAAAAAATTTCTTTTAATGTTTATTTATATTTGAGAGAGAGAGAGAGAGAGATAGAGAGAGAGAATTAGTGGGGGAGGGGCAGAGAAAGAGGGAAACACAGAATCCGAGGCAGGTTCCAGGCTCTGAGCTGTCAGCACAGAGCCGGACGTGGGGCTTGAACTCATAAACCGTGAGATCATGACATGAGCTGAGGTTGGACTCCCAACTGACTGAGCCACCCAGGTGCCCCACTCATGGGTAGGATTTTTAAAAAGACTTTTTAGGGGTGCCTGGGTAGCTCAGTCAGTTAAGTGTCCAACTTCAGCTCATGTCATGATCTCACGGTTCATGAGTTCAAGGCCCGTGCCCGACTCTGTGCTGACAGCTCAGAGCCTGGAGCCCACCTTGGATTCTGTGTCTCCCTCTCTCTCTGCCCCTCCCCCACTCATGCTGTCTCTCTCTGTATCTCAAAAATGAATAAACGTTAAAAAAATTTTTTTAAAAGTTTTTAATCTTACTATTTTCAAAAGGATTCAAAGCAGTCATTGACCATTTAAATTCTCACATCAGTTTACCCTAAGATTTCATATGACCAAGTTTCAGAGAAATACTTGTTTTGTTTCAATGAAAAGGAAAAAGATGAAGTTTTATGTTGAAGGATGTGAAAAGGAGATCTTGGGAGGAAAAGAGCATAAAAAGTCTCATTTAAATATAGATTTAACATAATAAAAACATGACAAATACATGAGGATATAAAGAATTGCATGCAAATCTATGGGAAAAAAGTAGTGAGATCCCAATACATAAACGGGTAAAGGGTACAAACAGACTAGTTCAACCCTTCTTCAAAAAATGATTAATACATAGAAAAAAATGTATTCAACCCTAAGAATAGTCAGAAAAATGTAAATTTAAAAAGCTACCATTTTCCCCAATGAAAGTAGCAAAGTGTTTTTTGGATAAAATATTCCATACTGGCCTACGTATGGTGAGATAAACTCTTGCGTGTTCCGCTGGAGTAAATATAAACAAAGACATCTTTTCATGAAAACAATTTGGTGGTTTGTCTCAGAAGCTGAAAAATATCTGTAACTTTTGACTAAACAACTCTATAATAATTTCAGGGTGCTGGCTTCAGTACAATGCTGTTTATGAAAAGGACATCCTCCAAACAAAAGACCAAAGGCAGGTATCCCAGAATAGTTCACTGCCTACGGTTTGAAGGTCATCATAACCTTGTCTATCAAAAACTAGTACTGGATTAACTGACCTAATGACTAAAATTTAATTCACGGGACAGAATGCTTTCCCACCTATTATTCACATGCTCTTTAAACCCACTAACTGCTAGGTGGGCAGCATGAAGTTGTTTTACAAGGAAAAAGTTAGCAAGCCGTCTACCAGCCGGGGCTGTCTACTAATACTCGTGGTGTTATTTGTTGAGCCTGATTATGGCTCAACAGAGCAATCACTGTCTACAATATGTCAAAAGGAACCATGCAATTAAGTCAATTCAGGCCCAAAGTCAGTGAATTCAATGAGACGAACAAGGTTTAAAAAAAAAAAAAAAATGTCAGTTGGCATCACATGAAGCAAAACAGATTGATTGACTGAACTTCTCACTTTTCAACTCATTTGCATAGTATTCTGAGCAGTCCAACCTGCAGCTGTTTCCAGCTACACTACCTCACTAGAGCCAAAAATAATTGTTAAAAAAATCCAGCTATACATCAAGGAACCACTGCTTCCATCCTGACTGGCAGCCTCCCAAGGCACAGCCTACATGAACTGCAGGAGCCGGAAGGGGAATGGCATCCAGCCTTACGCCAGAGCAGAAATCCTGAGGAAAATGAGCCCTTCACATCTGAATTCTCAAGAAAAAGCAAAAGGAGCAACTTCTAACAAAAGCTACTCTGCTGAAATCAGCCATAATTCCCAGCTACTTCCCATTACATATATATTTTTTAAACTCTTACTTCTTATTTTTATTTTTTTTATTTGAGAGAGGGAGACAGTGAGTGAGTGAAGGTGGGGGAGGGGGAAGAAGGAGAGAGAGAGAATCTTAAGTCTGCTCCAACCTCAGTGCAGAGCCTGAGGCGGGGCTCGATCCCACAACCCTGGGATCAGGACCTGAGCCAAAATCAAAAGTCGGATACTCAACGGGCTAAGCTACCCCAGGTGCCCCTCCCATTACATATTCACAAATGGTTATGACAGCCTCAGTGCCTACAACAGTTTTCTTAGAACCAGAGACTGTTGTGTTACTGTTGTCTTCCTTCTTTTTTGTCCTCTCTGGGTACAGTCACCCATTAGGCTAGAAATATGTGTTCTTTTAACACCTCCAAAGAAAATAAGGCATGCCACCAGCCCACTGTGGAAGGAAAGTACTGCCTTGGAGGTAAGGAGTCCCAAGTCTGGTCTCAGGGATTTCATTTACAGTAAAGACCTTGGGCAAGTTACTCT